ATCTACTGAATGGGAGAAGATATTTGCAAATCACATATCTATAAGGTGTTAATATCCAAAATATATAAAGAACTCATATAATTCAGTAAGAAAAAAAACCAAACAATCTGATTAAAAAATGAGCAGAGGATCTAAATAGATACTTTTTTTCCAAAGGAGACATACAGATAGTCAACAGGCACATGGGAAGATGCTCAATATCACTAATCATCAGGGAAATGTTAATCACCACAATGAGATACCCCTTCACAGCTGTCATAATGGCTATTATCAAAATGACAAGAAATAACAAGTGTTGGCAAGGATGTAAAGAAAAGGCAACCCTAGTGCACTGTTGGTGGGAATGTAAACTGGTGCAGTCTCTACAGAAACCAGTATGGATGTTCCTCAAAAAAAAATTAAAATAAAACTATCATATGATCCAGCAATTCTACTTCTGGGTATTTATCAAAAGAAAATGAAAACAATAATTCTAAAAGATACATGCACCTGTATGTCCACTGCAGTACTATTTACAATAGCCAAGATATGAAAACAACCTAAGTGTCCACTGATGTATTAATAGATAAAGAAGATGTGATGTATACACACACACACACACACACACATATACACACACTGGAATACAACTCAGCCATAAAAAGGAATGAAATCTTGAAATTTGCTACAACATGGATGGACCCTGATGGTATTATGTTAAATGAAGTAAGTCAGACAGAGAAAGACAAATACCATATGATTTCACTTATATGAGGAATCCAAAAAAACAAAGCTTACAGAGAACAGATTGGTAGTTGCTAGGGGGGAGGGCTGTTGGGGTGTGGGAGAAATGGGTGAAGGAGGCACTCAAGAGGTACAGACAAAGACAAATACCATATGATTTCACTTATATGTGGAACCTAAAAAACAAAATAAATAACAAAATAGAAACAGAGTCATAGATACAAAGAACAAACATGTAGTTGCCAAAGGATGGGGGCAAGATAGGGGAAGGGGATTAAGAGGTGTAAACTTACAGTTATAAAATAAATGAGTTATGGGTATGAAATACATAGTGTGGGGAATACAGTAAATAATAATAATCTTTGTATGGTGACAGATGGTAACTAGACATCATGGTTATCATTTTGTAATATATAGAAATATAAAATCAATATATTGTGTACCAGGAAGTAACATAGTTTTGTAGGCCAATTATACTTTAAAAACAAACAAACAAACTCATAGAAAAAGAGATCAGATTTATGGTTATCAGAGTAGGGGGTTGGGGGAGGGGAAATTGGATGAAAGTGGTCAAAAGACACAAACTTTCAGTTTTAACATAAACAAGTACTCAGGGACATAGCGTACAACATGATTAATTAACACTACTGTATATTATATATGAAAGTTATTAAGAGAGTCAATGCTAAGATTTCTCATCACAAGGAAAATTTTTTTTTCTTTTCTTTTCTTTGTATATGAGATGATAGATATTAACTAAACATATTGTGGTCATCATCTCATGACGTACATAAATCAAATCTTTATGGAGTATACCTTAAACTTATACAGTGCTGTATATCAATTATATCTCAGTAAAACTGAAAGAAGAAATAAAACGCCAATGACTACTAAAATGCAAAAGAAAAAAAAAAGTTGGATTTTCTTCCACCTAGTGTGGTATCAAAGTGCTGCCTGAAACGTCCCAATCTCAGGATTTTTATTGCTGGTGATGATCCATGAGGTGGAAAGAACATCACTTGATTTTCGAATAAGTGATTAAGCTTGTGCTACTGACTACATTATAGAAAAAATAAAAAGAACGTGGGAAATGAAAGAAAAGAGGTACAAACTTGCAGTTATAAACTAAGTCATGAGGATGTAATGTACAGGATGGTGACTACAGCTCACAAAATTATAATACAAATTTTCAAGTTGCGAAAAAAGTAAATCTTAAAAGTTCTCATCACAAGAAGAAAAAGATTTGTAACTTTGCATAGTGACAGATGGTAATGAGACTTGCCGTGGTGATCATTTCACAGTGTATGCAAATGTCGAACCTTTATGCTGTACACCTTAAACTAATACAATGTTATATGCCAATTATACTTCAATTAAAAAGAAACCAAAAATAAATAAATGAATTTGTTTTGAAAAGAAGTCTGACATTTATCTTTTGAAATGGCAGGTGAGACTAACAGTCTGAGTCAAGTTCTCCATCTACCAAGAAAGCATTTGAAATGAGAATGTACTAAGGAGTCATGGGGTTTCATGTATAAAAGTTTAACTTTTTTTTCACTTTAAGAAGGTAGAATCATTATCATAAATGTGACTGCTTTATATCTGTAAGCTGCATGTTTTTACTATATGACTGTAATTTTTGAAAAAGCTTCAGCACCTTCCAAATGAGTTTATTAAAAAATTATGTAATTAAGATGTAAATGTGTATCCTTTTCATTTGACCACTAAGGGGTCTAAAAGTACATCATTAGCAGCTTAGTGTTTCAAAAGATCGAGAAGGAGTGATAAATTATCATATAGACAAAGAAAAACGCCAGATTTCTATCCTTTTTTTCCTGTTGGATGTCAAATTAGTATTGCTCCAGAGTTTTATGGAAAATGCTTCATATAGACTCAGTAAGCTGAGCCATCTCCAGAACACTCAAGCTTTCTAATAAGACAAAGATTATCTAGAAACCTTGCCAAGTTCTTTATCTTATGATATTTTAATGATTTTATGGTGAGGCTAAAGCAAACATATCTCCTTAGGTGACATATTCAATGACCTTATGGAGACTCTGGAATTTTGAGTTCATATGTGGCATACTTCCGTAGTTTCACCTCAGTGAGTTATAAATTGTAGTCAGAATTGTTCAAATTCCCTTCATGTATAGCTCTACTCCTTTGTGCGCCATTATGTTAGCATTCCTCATTATATTTAGAAAGCTACTCTACTAATATGGGATGAATTGTGTTCCCTCAACATTCATATGATGAAGTCCTAACCCCAGTACCTCAGAATGTGACCCTATTTGCAGACAGGACATTTAAAGAGGTAATTAAGTTAAAAAAAGAAAAAGGTCATTAGGGTAGACCCTAATCCAACATGACTGGCGTCCTTATAAGAGAAATTGGGAGACACGCATGTACAGAGGGAAGACCATCTGAAGACAGCTATTTACAAGACATGGAGAGAGTCCTCAGAAAAAAACAACCCTGCCAAAGCCTTGACCTCAGACTTCCAGCTTCCAGAACTGTGAGAAAATAAACTTCTGTTGTTTAAGCCTCTCAGTCTGTGGCATTTTGTTAGGCCGCCCTAGTAAACTAACATATCCATTAAACTGGATATGAACAACCAAATATATTGTCCCTAGCATTAAGGGAAGGATGACAGAATGAAGCCTGGATCATTTTCATGAATCCTCTACATGTCCCATGGATGTTTTACCATATTTTATACTTTAATAGATAATAACTATTTTCTGGGCTTTTTAAAAATTTATGAGTACTTATGGCTGAAACTGCCATTAGTAGGTCATATATATAGAGAGAGATAGATCATTCAGGTCTTTCTCTGTCTTTATCTTAGGATGGAAAAGGAAAAGTTGATACTGCTCTGGCCAAAAGTGCTGTCTGTCCCTGAGTCAGCAGGACACACTGGCTACTCAGCCAGATACAGATCATCTTTTGCCACCCTCCCTGAAGGCTAGATATGATCATGTGATTAAGATCTGGCAAATGGAATTTTGGCTTATTTCTTATAACAGCCCAGCTTGCACCTAAATACATGATTGTCATTGATCCCAACTAAATTATCACATAGAAATATGATGTTTGTTTGCGTGATAAGGGGAAATAAAAGGCCAATGTAACTTCTAATCTGTACCCTCCATACACTCACTACTGTAATAATGTCACAATATATACGATCCTGAACTAATAACTCCAAGTAAATATCTTGTCTCTAACAACAAATCTATTCTGAAAGGGAAGAAAAAGACATTTATTCCCTAATGTTTATTTGACAAAAAATGTATGTAACAAATTTTTACATCTACTTGTCATCTGAATCTACATAAAGAAAATCAGTTTTCAGTTTTGATCTCACTGTATGACTAAGTTTTTACATAATGCAATTAAAATTTCCCAAATTTGGATAATCTAGATAGGCTTCTTGAATTCAAAATAAAGCACAGATCTCTTAAACATCTAGTTAACACAGGCACATGTTTGTTAATTTAAAAAAATGAGGGGGCAGAGGGTGCTATGATTTATTTTTTTCTAAGTGCCCAAAGGCTTGGCAAAGTTTAAGGTGAAAACGCATTATTAATATCAACTATTTACTTTATATCAACACACTTTTAAGTAATGCAGTAATATATCAACTGAAAAAAAATATTAAGCTATTAGTGCCTTGACCTTGAACTGCAGAGAACAATGATGTCTGATTGGCTGTCAGAGAAACAGCAAGAATCTACCAGTTGAGGATTAAAGGAAATCCCATGCCGTTTGGTGATGGAAACGATAGTGGTCATACAGACCCCATGAGATTTTTTCTATGACTGCGACATCAACAATCTGCTGATCTTGTGAGTCTGTCCTGCCCAACTGTCTGCAGTCTCTGCATTTTTGCCTTCCTCGTGGCTGTGGGGTCCACCTGAATAGTCTCTTAGGCAAGCTAGGGAACACAGAATCTCATCTTTGGACTGACTTTCTGACTAATGATGTATATATTTTTAAGGATTGATGTATATATTTTAAGGATGTATATATTTTTATGAATATATTTTTATTCATAACCTACCTAATTCTAAACAAGCTTTGGAGAGACACTTGCTAAAGCTTCCCACTGGCTTTACTGTATTCCTGAAATATACAGTTAAACTACTGATGAATTTCTGAGGAATGGGAGAATGAAGCACAATAATATTTATGAATCTACTGTTGCACACTAATAGTTCCTTGAAAAATCATATTTCATGTATGCTAAAAATAACCTTCAGTGATATAGGTTTTACCTTTCCCCAGGCAACTTCAGAATCCAAATTACTAGGCATTCCTTCAACTGCTGATCTCTTTGTCAATTCCATATCTGTAGCTGCCAGCCATTCTGTCAAGGCATTCATTTCCTTTCGCATCTTACGGGACAATTTCAAGCATTTCTCCAACTGTTGCTTTCTTTCTGTTACCTGAAAAGAATGATAATAAAATGTAGTTTGGTTTACTTTTTCAATTCAAGTTTAATTTTAGCTACTTAATTGGAAATTTCATTTTTTTGTCATTTTAAAATAACCTTTTTCTTACTTTTTAAAAATACTATTTTAGAAAAATTATATATTCTGAATATTAATAGTGAATAAGCACAGTCTAGGGAAGATGAGATCGTTTCTCCAAAAGATAGTGTCCTGCATCAGGTAGAAAGAAAAGCTATTATTTTCTCTAATATAAATAATTAATTATGGACAAATTTTTTTAAAATAGAATGATATAAATCAAACTGAAGATATGACACGTTTCTTTTAGAAACCCTTCAGTCATCTGTTAAAGAGATAGGCAAGAACATTTACAAATGAGGCGTGCCCTTACTGGTAAGGAATCAAAATGGGGAAAGAATACTATTTCTCTCCAAAGGCAAAAATATTTATAAAATACTTAGAATAGCCAATTTTATTGTCATTGAATCTTTAAAGTGTCTCACTTTTGCACAAAAACAACACAAAGATTAGGTCACTTCCTCCTTAAATATACATTTATTACCCAAAGGGGGCAACAAAATTTGATACCATAACAAAATTTTCACTCTCATTATTAGAGAAATCATGACTTGATCCTGTGTTCCAGTTCTCAGGGTTTAAAACTAAGACCCTCAAAGTCAAATTGTTCCATGTTCTCACACGGAGAATGAACAAATTTGTGTTTCTCCACCACTTGATGTGCCTACATCTTGTGAGTTGGCTGGTTGAATAAAAAGCCCAGAATCTCTTATCTCTTGTTGATACACACACACACACACACACATGTGTATATACACACACACATATATATGTGTGCGTGTGTATATATATATATACACACACTTATATATTCTACAAACAAAATAACAATTCAGCCATAAGCATGAAAAAAATGGCAAAGATATCTTTAAAGAATTTTAAATACTGCAATGAAAATAAATACCCTGAAACTTTGAGAAAAATTCCAAATACTCAACAAAATTTGTTTCTTTAACAGAGGTGTGCGTACATTAAAAAAAAAATTGTTTAGTTGCTGAGGCTGAAAATTCAATTTTTTTTTTTTTTTACAGATTTTTCCCTTCTATTCTTCCCTTCAGGGAAGTGAAAGCATCTGCCATTTTGAGTGCAAGGATTTTACTTGTATGTGGGAGAAAAAATATACACCTTATGGTGTGTTCCTATGCATAGTTATTTTTTCTATGCATTACTGGTAGAAAAAGAATTCTCGATTCAATATTTCAAAGAAATTCTATCTTCCCAGAGCTAATGCATTATTGACTTTTATTTATTCTACTTTGTTTATATCCAGATAAATAGGTTTTAATAAAACAGGAGACATTGTCATCTTAAGGAAAATTGAGTTTTACACTTTTGTTTTTTGGTGGAGAAAGGATACATTTAAAATAGTGCCACTCACAGTAGAAATCATTATTTCATGAACGCTTAAAAATGTAAGTGAGGCTGACATGAGTATTGAGGCTTTGAGTATGAGCATTTGTGGCTAAAATGAATATTGCTATTTATGTATATTGTAATATAATAAGCATACAGGAACTGTAAGTATTATTATATCTAGGGTGCTAGGTGTAATATCACTCAATAAAATTAAATAGATTTAGATATAAGAAACTCTATTTTTATTCATTGAACAATTAAGCTAAGTTGGTGATATTAACCAAACTAATAAAATTGTGTTAAGAAAAGTGTCATGCTCTGAACTGAAATGCCCCCAAAATTAATAAATTGAAGCCCAAGCTGCCATGTGACTGTACCTGAATATAGAGTGTTTGGAAAGTAATTAAGGTTAAATGAGGTCACAGGGTGGGACCCTAATCAGATAGGATTGTGGCCCTACTAGAAGAGGAAGAAAAAGATATCCCTCCATCCCTCTTATTCTCTTCTCCCCTTCCTTCCCCCACCCCTCCCACTGCCCCTCCTTCTCCACCATGTGAGAACACAGTGAGAAAGTGGCCGTCTGCAAGCCAGGAAGAGGGTCCTTACTAGACTGACACCTTGATCTTGAACTTACCAGCCTCCGGCACTGTGAGAAACAAAATGTTCTTGTTTAAGCCACCTAGTCTATGGTATTTTGTTATGGCAGCCTAAGCTGACTAATCCAAAAAAGTAATATATTGAACTGAGGCAAGTAAAATGATTTAAATTCTGAAGACCATTAAAATAGAAGGGTTTGTATATTTATATAAAAAGAATAATACATTAAGATATCCTCTGTTTCCATAAAACAAAACCACTATTGTTGAAGGTGCTTGGAAGACTTAAATATGAACAATTTTTTCTCAGAAAACAAATACATGACTTCTGCCATTTTATAATATGATATTTGTACATATTCCTTTTATCACTAATGTTTCTAAATCTTTATTTCAAAAATGAATGCCTGCCCCACATTTTTGCTGTGTTCTGTCATGCTTTTAAAGCTAAGTATGATTTCTTAGTAATCGTTCATTTTGCTTTAATGATATTACTCAGTGCCAAATGGTTAAATAAACATACACTTCCAAATATACATTTTCAGGGATAAAGAGGTCTTCACATCATCGTAAGAATCATTCACTCCTTAATAATAATCAACTCAGGACACTAATAGTCCTCTAATGTCATTTTTATTGTTTTAAATTCAAAGTGATTTATTCTACATTATGTTAAATTTACTCTTGCAAAGGCAAAGATTTTGTGCAAATTCTTCAAGGCAAAGAAAAGGCCCAGACAATAATTTATATTTGAAACAGATAATTCTCTTTCAAAACTTTAAATTAGAAGGCTTTTAAAATATAAAAATAAAGACTATCACTAATATGAATGGTGATTTTCAGATTTTCATTTGAATCTAAAACTCACTTTCTCTCAGTGATAAGTAATTTGCAATTTGTAGCTTCAAGACATAACCTTCAACCTACTTTCAGGGTGCAATGTTAGAATTCTGACTCTGCATGGCTACTTCTCAAATATGGGCAAGCATTTACATTTGTGTCTAAGATGAAGTGACAATTTTCTCATTGATGTTGTTATATTCAATAAAGTTGGGAACCTGAGCCGTAAAAACAGACTCTTTTCTCCCCACTGGTCTCAGTAAAGCTCTTTCTATGTAGAATGTATCAACTCCACTGTACCTAAATATTAAGTCCTAAATATAAGTAGGTATATTAGTTTATAAAATTACCAGCCTTTGAGTCATCACAAGTAAATATAGACAATGAAAAGAAGGGGCAAGTTTAGAACAAAGAAACCCTTTTAGAATTATCTGATGGACCAATAAAAATCTCTCTGAGCTGTACATATGTTTTAATGTAGACTGAAAAGAAGACCCTTGCTGATTAATTACTGTTTCTTAAGAGCTGTAAATTGGAATTTATCTCTCTCTCTGTCTATGTATGTATCCATGTATCTATCTATCTGTAGGGAGTAAATGATTTAGCCTTCCTAAGACATTAATTGTGCATAATTACTGACTCTTACTTTACAATATACAAGGAAAGTGGGAAGTAGCCAGTGCTTATGGTTTCAGCATGCACACACCTTTGCTCCCAGCTCATTATAATGCAATTTCAAAGCCGTTACTCTTTCATCAAGCTCTTTAGGGTTTTCCGTCTGCTTCTTCTGTACAATCTGACGTCCAGTTTTGATCACCATTTCCACTTCAGACTTCACTTCACTCAGACTTTTATACAAGTTCTAAGTTAAAACATAAAACAAAACAGAATAATAAGCAATAGTGTCTAGTTCATACTATTATTAATAAAAAGAAACAGGAGTAGAGATCACCTGAAATGCTATTCTATGGTTACAGTTTTAATGGAGTAGCATTTTGCAGCTGTGGTCAATATCTAGCTTTTGCATTTTCTGTTGATTTAATGCTTCTATTGGTAATTATATGTACACATAAAGACACACATATTGTGTAGTTATACTAACCAAAGTAAGGGTACATAACACATATATTTAATTCTTCATTCCAAGTTTATAAAGATCATTTCTAAAAGTTATATGATTTCTATTGGGTTGGTCAAAAGGTTCCTTCAGTTTTTAAAGTAAAAATGAAAGATACATTTTTCATTGTCACCAAGAACTTTATTGAACAACACATTCATTGTTTTGTTCCACTACCTTCTGCCATTTTTCAGGCAGCTTCATAATTCCATCTTCCCAAAATGTCTTATCTTTTTGAGCAAAGAACTGTTCCAGGTGGCTTTTACGGTCTTCCAGGGAATTGAAATGTTTTCTATTAAGAGAATTTTATAAAGACTGAAATAAATGGAAATCTGAAGGTGCAATGTCTGGTAAATACAGCAGATGAATCAGAACTTCCCAGCCAAGCTGTAAGTTTTTGCCTGGTCATCAAAGAAACATGCGGTCTTGCATTATCCTGATGGAAGACTGTGCATTTTCTGGTGACTAATTCTGGACTCTTTTTGTCAAGTGCTGCTTTCGGTCGGTCTAATTGGGAGCAGTACTTGTTGGAATTAATCATTTGGTTTTCCAGAAAAAGCTCGTAATACAGGACTCCCTTCCAATCCCATCCATGTACAGAACATCACCTTCTTTGGATGAAGACCGGCCTTTGGCGTGGTTGGTGGTGGTTCATTTCGCTTGGCCCACGATCTCTTCCGTTCCACACTGTTGTACAGTATCCACTTTCCATCGCCCGTCACAATTTGTTTTGAAAACAGAACGTTTGCGTTACATTTAAGTAGAGAATCGCAGGCAGAAATACGGTTAAGAAGTTTTTTTTCGCTTAACTTATGTGGAACCCAAACACCAAAGCAATTCACATAACCAAGCTGGCGCAAATGATGTTCAACGCTTGATTTGGATATTCTGAGTATGTTGGCTATCTCCTGCATGGTATAACATTGATAGTTCTCAAAAAATGTCTCGATCGCTATCAACATCAACTGGTCTACCCAACCCTGGAGCATCATGTAGTGAGAAATATCCAGCACGAAACTTCGCAAACCAGTTTTTTTTTTTAACATCTTTATTGGAGTATAATTGCTTTACAATGGTGTGTTAGTTTCTGCTTTATAACAAAGTGAATCAGTTATACATATACATATATCCCCACATCTCTTCCCTCTTGCATCTCCCTCCCTCCCACCCTCCCTATCCCACCCCTCTAGGTGGTCACAAAGCACCAAGCTGATCTCCCTGTGCTAAGCGGCTGCTTCCCACCAGCTATCTATTTCACGTTTGGTAGTATATATGTCCACGCCACTCTCTCACTTTGTCACAGCTTACCATTCCCCCTACCTGTATCATCAAGTCCATTCTCTAGTAGGTCTGCGTCTTTATTCCTGTCTTGCCCCTAGGTTCTTCATGACCAACTGTTTTGTTTTTTAGATTCCATAGATATGCGTTAGCATATGATATTTGTTTTTCTCTTTCTGACTTACTTCACTCTGTAGGACACACTCTAGGTCCATCCACCTCACTACAAATAACTCAATTTTGTTTCTTTTTATGGCTGACTAATATTCCATTGTATATATGTGCCACATCTTCTTTATCCGTTCATTTGTTCATGGACATTTAGGTTGCTTCCATATCCCGGCTATTGTAAACAGAGCTGAAATGAACATAGTGGTACATGACTCTTTTTGAATTATGGTTTGCTCAGGGTATATGCCCAGTAGTAGGATTGCTGGGTCATATGGTAGTTCTATTTTTAAGGAACCTCCATACTGTTCTCCATAGTGGCTGTATCAATTTACATTCCCACCAACAGTGCAAGAGAGTTCCCTTTTCTCCACACCCTCTTCAGCATTTATTGTTTGTAGATTTTTTGACGATGGCCATTCTGACTGGTGTGAGATGATATCTCACTGTAGTTTTGATTTGCATTTCTCTAATGATTAATGATGTTGAGCATTCTTTCATGTGTTTGTTGGCAATCTGTATATCTTCTTTGGAGAAATGTCTATTTAGGTCTTCTGCCCATTTTTGGATTGGGTTATTTGTTTTTTTTATATTGAGCTGCAT